CGGCCACCATCATGAACTAATTGAAAAATGAATAAAATATGTTTCTATATCAGATGTTGTTGTTTACCGACCAAGTTTAAATTTGTCATTATAATAATACGTCGAGTTGTCACCGGATTAATTCTTTTTTTTTTTGTACGTTCCCAATTGTAGTGTTTGTTGCCTATTTTGAGCAGCAATTACCACACCTGATACCACTTTTGGTATCTTTGAAATACTTACTAATGATTAATATACTTTCTCATGTGTTGGTTGGTTCTTTACATGACGTCATGGTTACATCAGGCGAATGCCGGCTGTGGGTTCCGATCTCGATCGACGTGTGAAAGTCCGATGACCTTGAAAAAGTCATATGCACCCATGATTCCAGTCGATCCAGCTGTAAATGGGTACGGATGATCCGGGAAAGATCAATGCCAAGAGGTTTGTCCATGGAACAGCTGGTAGAAATGATCCTTAATTGTTAAATAGATTTTTGTTTCTTTCTTCATGTGAAAAGTTCGGGTTTCATTTTGCGGTTTGGATCGTTAGTAGCCTTCTGGTTCTTGTACTTGTTTTTTATTATGGAAATAAAATTTCTTTTTGAAGGACAATATGACTGCTATCTGATGTCGAAGCTTCTTGTTTGCTTCTGTAACAGGAGTATTTGAATGTTTTTAAGCCATAATTAAAGATATAAAACACGTCAGTCGATTACATAATATACCCATGCTATCATAATTATGCTACCACGTCTGGGGATTGAGCAATGATTTAGAAAAAGTTATTACCAATAACGCGCGACTTTCTCTTACATGATTGTTACTAAATAAATCGCATATTTTGAATTGTTTCCTGGAACACAGATTCCCACGAAAAGCTTTTTGTTTTGAGGGTCCCTTACAGGATAAAACTTTTGTCATTGGCAGAAACACTACCTTTTATATAAAAATTTGAATAATAACCTTTTTGGTCTTATGTTTGGCGCCCAGGAGGGGTGTGGTTTGTTTTGCCATAGGAACTGAACAGTTGAACCATTAAACCATATTCCTCTCTCCACATAAATAAATTTTTGTGCAAAAAAGGAGGACATAAAACGCCATTTATTTCATGAATAACCTTTTAAGTGAATGATAAATGCAAGCCAAAAGGTGGAATTTTTCCACTTATCAACAATGGTATACCGGCTGTTACTCCAACTGACAAGGCGGACTGTTTCAACAGATATTTCATGTCTCAATCGCTGCTAGACACCTCTAATGCACCTATTAGAGCAAAATCACAACTCACTTTGTCAGTTGTACCTTACCTCTGAGGAGGTTGAAGACATATCATCTATCGATGCAACAAAAGCTTCTGACCCAGATCATATTAATGTAAAACTACAGAAATCTTTCATCTCTCAAATATGTACCCCTATCTGCACTCTCTTTAACTTGAAAGAAGGGTGACCCATCAAATTGTGCCAAATATAGACCAGTTTCACTTCTTAATGAAAAAATGTATACATATAAGTATATTTTTAACTTCCTATTCTATTCTATTATTGCAAAGCGATTTCTTACACTGCGATTCCACTACTTATCAACTAACCCATCTTAATCGCTTCCTTACTCAGGCCATTCATCAAGAGCAGTGCAGTCAGGGCAGTGTTCTGTGACATCATCAAAGTGTGAATGTCGATTAGATGTATATGCAGGTAATACCAGCTTATACCTAACAATTCATGACCGAAATGTTTGTGCTGAAGTACTTAATCGTGACATGGAAACAATAAACAATTGGGCTAAGAAATGGTTTGTTTCCTCCAATCCGCTGAAAACCGAATCACTTCCACTTTATACTGAAAGGAATCTGATCTTACCGACATTAAACCTTGACAATATTCAAATTCATAAAAAACATGGGTTTAACATTTCAACTAACTCAGTGGGATACACATATTGATACGATTTTATCAGAAACTAGTTGGCTTATAAACTGCCTTACATCTCTGAAATGTCGATTAAATAGAAAATCCCTACAAACGGTTATAATAGTACACCTCAATGAAAAACTAATATGTTTTTTAATTCTTTTTTCCCTTCAGCAATCAGAGATTAATGTATCCTAAACTCCAATCACATGGAATAATAAATATATAAAGACTGCGTTAAAAGATTATCGAAAAAAAATTATGGATAATTGATTTATTTTTATCCAGAACATTATTGACTTCACTACAGACTGCAAAGGAATGGACTACATAGACATGACATGGTCGGAGCATTTTTTGATTATGGTATTGATCAATTATCACCTTTAATTATTCCATTCTCTGAAGAACGTTGTCGCAAATAACTCCTCGAACAGCCCAGATAACAAAAAATATTTCTCAGCAAATCCTTGA